ACGCGAACGCGAACGCGCAACTCGTCTCGCTCGGCGCCACCACCCACAGCCCGCCCCCGCCGAACCAAAAATAGGCAAAGCATCAAGCAGCAAGCACGATGCGTGATTTTACGAGTTGTTGCACAGCGGCGCGCATCCATTTGGTCACGATTCACGACGCAACAAAGTCAGACAAGGCACGCATCAAAGGACAAGATCAAGGCGAAGTGCGCATGTCTAGCTGTGATCTTTGGTTTGATATTTTGAGTGGCAGAGGGGCAATCGCAATCACCGTCCTCCTGCATTCCATTCGTGGATCTCCGAATCGAGGCTCAACTTCAAATTCGCCGCCCGGTGCGCAAAGCTCCGTACGTGCTTGGCAAAGCTAGAGAGAGGCTCCTTTGCGCATGCGCAGACAAGAATGACACAAAGGTTGATGGATGCGCGACTCGCTTACGCTAGCTGAAGCTGACGTCGAATCTGAAACTTCATCAAGATCGTGCTTTATTGTTAGCTAGCCCGCTCCGATGGAAGGCGCAACGTCCACAATCATGTGAATTCGGCTTCGCACCCCAGCCTCTCGGTGCCGATGCTTCCTCGAACGGCGTGTACGTTCAGCCTGGCCCACCTGACTTGATCCAAGTCTCTTATTCCGAGCAGCATGCACGCGTGATACGATGCCGCCGAAAGATCGTACACTAGAATTGTTGATCGCGTTGAGATGAGCAAGCACACAAGTGTATCCAAAATGCACCAAGCTCGCGAAATAAAGAGCAGAATGAATGGCAACTCTGAATCGAGAACCACAGCGCCGCATGGTAATTCGCTTCTGCATTGCGCTCAAGAGACATTTGCAAGGAGGGCAAGTATCATTCGGTCCTCAGAACTCCAAAAGATCTCTCTATTGCAGAGTGCATACTCGCGCGAAAAAGACTACATGCGAGCACTAAGAGCACGTCAAGCACAGAATCAGGTATCAGTCCTGCGATGAAGAAGATCTGGGATCAGCTCAAGAGGCTCTTGCGAATAAGAGCGCGGCAAAAAGCCGACTTACCCAAAGCTTGATCGTACCGTCCCACGAGCCCGTGACAAGCTTGCTCTGCGCCGTGTTCAAGCATAAAAATGAATTTTTTCAGCAGCTGCTCTGCTCTGCCAAGGTGCAAGAGCTCTTGATCCACAACGCACCGTTTCGTGAGGCAGCCATTCGTGGCTGATGACGACGTCCTTATGAGCCCTCAAGCGCTTGAGCAGCTTGCCGCTCTTCCAGTCCCAAAACACCACATTTCCCTCGCTGTCGCCGCTCGAGATGAAACGACCATCAGGGCTGAAGCCGAGCTGACAAGCGTAACCCGCAATGTGATGCCCCGAAAAGATCTTTTTCCTGTTTTGCCGGAAGCTGTCCGATGCGAAGACATTGATGTGGTTGTCGAGCGATTGGCACGCCAGCCATTTTTCTGCAAGGGAAGCAAGAAGCGCGACAGCCGTGACACCAGATCAGCGTGGTATTGTGCGACATCGCATCGAATGGAGCTGCACTCACTGTTTGGATGCGTCGCCACCACAGGCATCGAGTGCATGGTTGGGTCCGCAATGTATTTGACCACGACTGGAATGTCAAAGTCCCACGCTCGCATCGTCTTATCGTCAGAGGTCGTGACGAAACGCCTGTTCTCGTCGACGAAAGTGATGGAGTTGACAGGTCCAAGATGTTGGTCGTACTCCTGGGTAACCTCTCCATCGTCCGTGTTGAATTGAGTGATTTTCTTGTCGCTCATCCCCGCCAAGAAGATGTTTGGCTTGTCGGGGTGGAAGCGCACGACGTTAGGCACCTTTCCGTTGGAAAATGCTCGAATGCATTGGCCTGTCTCCGTGTCCCAAAGCTTCATTTGCCTGTCGTACGAGGCCGACAGGAACCGTCGACCGTCAGGGCTAAATGTAACATCTCGTACCGCTTTGTTGTGGCCCATGTAAGTCCTGAGACATTTGCCGTCGTGATATACGTCCCAGAGCTTCAGTCAGACAAGGCAAACGCGTCAGTATTTCCTGAAACAATGCATCATTCCTTGCGAGCTGCTACGCACCTTGACCTGAGTGTCCATACTGCCGCTCAGCATTAGGTGACCGCTGCCAGGTAGCAGGCGAATGGCGCTTACACCTTTTGTGTGGCCCGTCCATGTGTGAATGCAAGCTTTTGGAATGAAGCTTTGTTCTGTACCGGGTTGACCCTTGAGGTTGGTATCCACATCAGTAGGCACATGCATGTACGTCCTGCCTTGGTAATCATACATGGACTTTCCTGCAGGACAACATGAGCGTGTTGCGTGTGAGTAGAGAATATTCGAGCGACGCAATACCTCGACAGCCAGCTCCTCACCATGAAAGACGCTCTTTTCAGTGCCCGCCGCATCCTCTCGCCTTCTTCGTGCTTCCATCTCGAGCTTCTCTAGCTGCCTGTTCGTGCTTCTCTCCTCTGCACGCTTGATTTCCTCTGGTGTGGGACCGACACCTTCTGCGACGTTCACCTTTTCGCCGTGCCAGCCTCCCCAAGGACCTGCATATCCGCCTTCTCCCACATCTTCCAAGCTTCCATCTTGCCCCTTGCGTTGCTTTTTCAATGCTCTCGCAGCTTTCCTGCTCTCGCCGTCTCCGCCGCGCAGCTCAAATGCAGAAGCGCCCTTCAGCGCCAGCGCTCTCGCCTTATCTCCCACAAAGCCGTTCCCGCCATTCTGAGCCAGGTTTGATGGATTCCTTGCATATCCTAGAGACTCAAAGGTACGCTGCTGAGCTCGAAAGTCGAAGTCACTCATGGCAGCTTCTTCAATGTGGCCAGTCAGCGTATTGGCTTGCGACCCAAGCGGTCTGGCTGCGAAAGGATTCTCGGGACCAATGATGGGCGCGGTCATGTCGGTGTATCGCAGATTGACGTGCATAGAGGTGTCGCTGGGTCTCGTGAGCAACTGTGCAGCCGATGGATCCTTCGAGTTCAAGAGGGGTTCGGGCGTTGAGTTGAGTGGAAAATGGCAAGGACAGACTACGATGATGTACTCACAGCATCGATCACGCCCGGAGCGGCGGTGACAGTCAGAGCATTGAAGGAACCTGCTTGTGACCGAGACGCAGCGCCGCTACCCGTTGGCCGGTCAGCCTCTTCCCTTGATCTCTTGCTCGCCTTGTTCCTTTGGGCATCTTCACTGGCCGATGCGTCACCTCCGGAAAGATTTTGGAGGCCAAAGGCGTCACTTGCTTCGACGGTCACATTGTCATCTTCGTCAGGAGATATTGCTCTCTTTACCGGAGCGGCGGATGCTCCCGCGGCATTGATGGATGCTGATGGCTTGGAGGGTCCAGCGGAATCTTCCTCCGAGCCGCTATCGTAGCTCTGCAGAGCATTCATGCTGGTGACGACTTGCTCCTTGAAGGGAGGCTGCCAAGGTGCGATGGCTATGATTCCCGCCGATTGAAGGACTTCGGACTGCGAAGTCTGTGTGTGTGTGTCTGTGTGTGCGTGTAGTGATGAAAGACGATCGAGATGCGAGATCAGAGGACGATTACGAATTTTGGATAGGTTGCTTGACGTCACGTGAAATACTAGGTCGCGCGGCTTCGCGTATCTCTGCGTCTGGCGGTACCGTACGGTATGCATCATGATCCTCTCGCGGGCCGTCTCCTGCATGCAATCAACAGAATTGCGATCGAAATTCGCTCTGTCCATGTACTTTGGAGACTCACGACTGGGTATGGCTGTTCTCCGTGGTCCAAGTTGGTAGCCAGGCCCTCACTTAAAGCGATGAGCGAAGCTGGACAACTCGAGAAGGTGCTGCTGATCCATGCGGATCAGCGACGTAGACGCGGCGGCAGCACGCATCCAGCAGCATGCAACGCTTCGTGACTCTCGACCTGCGCGTATGTGTGTGTGTCGACATGCATGTGCACCCAACGAAACGAGTATAGCGCGGCGTGACTCGTGACTTGTGCGGGCGGCCGGGCGATGAGGTGACAGGTGCATAATGCGTCAGATGGAGGGTCACAGCCATGTGTGTTATGTGTGTGTGGCTATCGGACCTCCGCCTATCTGCCTTGTCATGCGACGTTGTGATGATGATGGACCACTTCCCTCATTACCCACAAGCTTGACTCGGCACATCACGCTGCCACACCTCTGGACACACCACTGCAACTCCTAGTGCCACAGAGCTTCACCTACTGCAAGCACACACACCGCACGCACCTACCCCGTCGCTCAGATCCTCGACGCGCGCCGTGGCATCATAAGCTTGCTCTGCTCAGCCTCAGGCACAAGCGACGACTAACAACGGCACATTTGTACCCACGCATCCGCTCGAGCTTGAGCTCCGCTTCACTGCCACATCCTCGCCGTAGCCTTTGCCCATTCTGCAGAGTTAGAGGGCGAGTTAGAGCGGCGGCGAGAAGTTGTTGGACGCAACACATCTTTATCTCACTTGAGCAGCCCCGCCTCTCGCTCACTTCGAAGCGACGCTGTGACTTGTGGCTCGCGTTCAGGATGTCAAGCCATCGCCCCATCTCCCCGGGCATGGCAGAGAGGCCTGGAGATGACTCCGTGGTATCTGGATCTAGAAGCAGGCTGAACGAGTCGATTTCTCCCGCAATGACACGGGAATTGGTGCTCAACTATCTGGTGCATCATTGCTACCTCGACACCGCTTTAGCCTTCGCTGGCGACGGCATCGCAGCGGAAGGATCCAGTGGCCTAGACGTTCGCAGTAAATCTCAGCCTCCTGGCTCTTCTAAGCGACCAGGTCTCGGCGCTGGTGTCGTACCCCCTCCTCTGGCAAGAGGAGACTCGAGCACGGAGATGGAGATAGAAGTGGACGAAGCCTTGGCCATGGCAGCCGAATTGAATGGTACCACCCAAGCTGCACGACAATTAGCTGACAAGACCTTGAACGGCAAAGGGAAAGGCAGAGACGACTTGCACAAGTTCGCGTCCGGGCTCGAAGGGCATGAGAACGTAGGTGAACTCAGTGGCGATGACATCTTTCAGATTAGCATCAGGCGAGGTGAGCATCGCAGCATTCACCTCTTCCAAATCTGAAGTAAGGCTCACAACAATTCACACGCTTTCGGAAACGCGCACAGACATCCGGGACCACATCTTGAGCGGTCGCATCTACGCTGCCATCGAATTGCTAGATGAGCACTTCCCAGCTGTGGTCAGCTCCTCCGCGGCAGCTGGGCGGTTGAGACGCTCTGAAGCATCGCCACAGACGCTCGATCCAAGTAGCGTGTACGCACGGCTTTCAGGAGGTCTTGCGAGCTCCGTCAATGCTTCAAATGGTGCATCGGGGGCGGCTAGTGGTAACGGAAAGAGCGGCAGGCCGAAAGCTGCTCTACCTGCCTACCGACCCAGCCTAGATCCAGATCACGTCGCTCTCAATCTCCAGATCCAAGCTTTCATCGAGGCTGTCAGGGGCTCCTCTGGTACCGGTACAACAAGATCCGTCGGAGACTCGTCGGCAACAGGAAGGCTGTCGCCGTTCTCGGATGCTGGAAGCAGTGCGGGGTCGACCAATGGAAGCGCGAACGCTACGGGAGCTGGAGGTGGCGGCATCATGGGCGCTCTGGCATTGGTGCAGGGCATCAACACCAGAGTACTCTCACTGCCAGAGTATTGGAGATCCATGTATCTCAAAGAATTGCAAGGGGTCACTGCTCTGCTTGCATACGCCAACGTAGAAAGCTCTCCAGTGAGCAAGTACCTCGATCAGAAGAGACGCGTTGGACTTGCTGAGCAGGTCAACAGCGCCATCATTGGTGAGTCAGATGCGAAAGTCATCGTGGGCCGGAGGCTTTTGCCTGACCACGCTTGCGCTGATCCCGCACTCGCGATCGCAGCGCAAAGTGGGCAACCGTCACAGCCCTTGATCGAATCAACAATCAGACAGACTACGTTTGTGTGGGGCCAAATAGCAGCGGACAAAGTGCCAGTCCCTCCGAGTCACCTCGCTTTCATTGGTGGAGATGCAGGCACAAGTGGTGATCCAGAAGGCTTCCAGAAGCTCTCACACTTAGAGTCGACACATGGCACTGCGAATGCCAATGGGTCGTCGTTGACAGGTGCTTCCAGCGACCCCCGGAAGAACAGAGGCAGGGTGAATATGCGCCCGTGTCGTTAGCTGTGCGCTCAAACGGTATCTGACGCGTGCCTCGCCCCTTCTACCAACAGATTCTTCCTCCTTGGGATCTGCACTCTTTCCTGGCGGATAGGTGAAAGGGCACTCCCACCTGTCGATCGAGCGCGTGAGCGCAAGGCGTGCCCGCCAGCAGCCACCCCATAGCCCTGCATTTCGATCACCTAGGCGCCTCCATACGGCATGACAGCTGCATGAAGCATACTCACCTCACAACGCCCCAAACCATACATCACTGCTGGAGATTTGCCCGCCTGGATCTCCGCTTCGAGCGCTCTCAAGCATGTCTCGCAGCCTTCTCCACATCTCATGCTGTATCGTGCATTCTTCAGACAGACGACTTGCAATTACTCACATCGATATTAGGCTGCTGGCAAGGCTTTCATCAAAGTCATGCGTGGTGACGTCTTTCCGATTCCTTACCGTCAGCCTTGATCACCCGCGCTTGCAAGGAGGGGTGGGATCCGTATTGAAGTGCAACATGAATGCGAGGCACAAGTAAGCCAGCCAGCAGGTCATTCCTTGAGCAGGATTGTCCACGCCGTCGAGAGCGAACAGCTGCGACTCCTAAATTCATTCACTTTTTACCTTTACCTCCATCTTCGACCTTGACCAGCCTCTTTTCGACCCCGAGGTCCGCAAGCATGCTGACTAGCGCGATGCTCTGATTACCCTGGATGAGGAGCTCAAAGAGAGGATTCTTGGGTGAGGATGTCGCCAATGGCGAGACTGCCATCACAAGATCTTCGTGGTTAGCAAGCAGCTAGCGACAATTCGATTGGCCACCTGCCGAACTCACCGCTCGCGCTGGCTCCCATTTTACGCTTGCATTCGGCAGCGAGATCCTTGGGATCCACACCAAAGCTTTCTAGACCAGTGACGAGGCTCACCACCTTTTTGCCTTGCCTTTGCTTGATCTCTATTCTCACAGGAGTAGCGACTCCCTTTCGCATAGGGCCCCTACTTTCTCCCTCTTCCAGCTCCACGTCCTCACCTCCCAGCTCGGCGTTGATCTTTTCCGCTTGCGCCGCTTTGGAGGCAGATAACCTAGAGACCCGGTGGTGCTCAGTGCAGCTTGTACTAATCAGCTTATCCAGAATTGCCGGCTTGCTCATCACCGCCGGCACCTCGTCCTTGTTGGCTGAAGCTTTAGGGAAAAGAGCATTCACTAGGAGAGTATCGTTCAGTCGAACATGCTCCTTTTGTCGCCCATCGCGCAACTGATGCTTGGCAACATAGGCCTCCAGCATCTCTCGAATAGCAGGCCGCGAAGATGGAGCGGAGGTCCTGAGGTATCAGCGCAGGGGGACGTGTCAGTCCGGAAATTGGGTCGCGTGCGGCGCGAGCTCGACGAAGCCTGTGACTCACGGATAGCCTGCGCTCTGGAAAAGCTTGACGGCTTGATTTGAAGGTGTCCAAAAACGTTCGACAACGGTGCGCAAGTGCAAATTTGGGTTTGACGTCGTCTCTGTCCCAGCAGGATGAGGCGCACTCTGATCGGTCTCATCAGCAGCCTCAGCCGCATCGTTACTCGTCAGACTCTTCAGCGTGATGAACGGCTTCAGCGTGGTCACACTGAAGACGCAAATGCACGTAGTCAGTAGGATGGCGCGGGTGTCACAAACGGAGATATGCGCACTCACTCTGGGTGATCAGTGTCAAATTCGGTGATGAGCGTCTTGCCCTTGACATCTTTCGTCTTGAACACTCCACTCTTCTCACTTTTCAGCAAGGGAGAATTGTCAGCACTCGAGACTAGGGCAAGTCTCCTTACACCTGCGATGACTCACGCCGTCTTCACCCATTTAGCCAACTTTTTCGATGAGCTCTTCCTGACATCATCGTCTGGTCTGACCGCCGTCTTTTGCCTCTTGGGCTCCACATCACCATACGACGCATCCTGTGAGGCCCCCTCCGGAGTCGGAGGCCAAGTGGTAGGTCTGTTTGGCAGGACATGGAGCTGATAAAAGATGCTTGACTCGACTGGCAGCTCTTCTGGCGCGTCTTGGGCTACTGCGCTCAGCAGAGCCAGGTCAAGCAAAGCATCGACATCCTTCGCGGTCAACGCTGCTATCCGAGAGGACGTTTCTTGATCCTCCTCAGCATCGCCGCGCCCGCTTAATAGATCCGCCAGCAAGTCTGCAGTGTCTCCTTGCGGTCCATCTTCAGCTGCCAATCCAGTTTCACCTGCTCCCGTGTCCGCTGCACTGTCCGGCTCTGCCCTTTCTGCTGCGCCTGATGCCCCAGCTTCAGCTGCAGCACCATCGGCCACGGGATCTGATGAGTCCGACGCGAGAGACAAGCTCGAAACATCCGGCAGAGAAGCTTCACTAGGCGGTTCTTTGCTACCTCCAAGAGCCCAAAGTTCGTCCCAATGGGTGTGCAGAATCTTGACAGCTTTTCCCTTTTCCCCTTTGCTTCTCCGTTCGACGATGTCTTTCATGTCGATCTCCAACTTGCCCACCACCAGGGGCACACTGGATTCTTGAGCGGTAATGCTGATTAGGTCACCTGTCTTCGGCAAGTCTGATCCAGACGAAGTGGGGAACGTGTTTGGGGGTGGGAGGAAGCCAGGCACCATCAAGGATGTGCCGGACATGAGCGCACTGTCTGCTGAGGCCACCAGCTTGGACTCGGTAGGGACTCGGGGGAGCAGGGAAGGTAGCAGCCATAGAGCATACACTGGGTAGCAGCACAGCCGCATGGCAAGCGTACATCCCTCAGCGTCAGCAAACGCGTTTCACGGATCCATTGACCACACATTCGAGTCACTCACCAGTAGGAATCACTTCGACTTTGGACAAGCCTTTTCCCTTGCCTGCCTTTTCCGCTCCTTTCCCGGCAGTGTTGCCGATTTCGAACCACAAGGGTCTGCCTTTCTCGTCCGTATACAGCACCGCCTTGTCGTCCGCGTGAGTGCTTGCATTGCGTTGGTGTAGCGTCTCGGGCACGAGCTTGAGCACAAGGTCGGGCGACGCGGATGCGAAGGCTGGGAATTGGGACTGCAGCTGAGCTATGAGCGATCTTCGATTAGAGGAGCGCACCAGCGTCGATGGCTTGATCGTTGGCGCCTTTTTGAACATTGTGATAACCGTGAATCAAGAATATGTGGATGGCTTGCAGCGCTCCCAACGCGGACGCGGTGACGGAAGGGGAACAGAGGGAAATCCCAGCACGAATGCGCCTTGTGTAGGTCGTCTTTCCACTTCTTCCTTCTCGCTTGCCAAATTGTCTGCCGCGGCACTCACGACTGTGACTGGTGAGCAGCTCAGTCAAAAGTGTACATGCTGCTTGCATGCATGCCCGCAGGCGCAGCACGCTTGCTTGCACTCACTGACGAATCAGCCGTGCGAGATGAATTCTTCCTCCACAACGTCCGTATATGAATCATCGTGGCTGCGCTCCAACCCAGTCAAGACTATGACAAGAGCAGGCTACACCAAATGGTCTTCCTTCGCATCCATCAAAGTTGAAATAGTCTGCAGGGATCGGCCGTCCAGTCCTCTTTTGACCCAACGTCGCGCTTGAAGCTGGTGGCATCCTAAGACGACGCTCATTGCGAATCGCACCCAAGTGCAGGAATGATCTCTCAACGAGGTTTCGGTCTGCGAGCTCTGCTGAATCCGTCATCTAGTAGGGGACGACCTACCTGCACTTCTTGCCGTCAGCAGAGCCGCCTGCCCCAGCTCATAACAAATCGAAATCAAGCTTCTTCAAGCCACGAATTGGGCGTGCATTCAAATGTCGCGAATCAAAGCAGTTGGGCAGCAGCGTCCGTCGACCGGCATGCTTTTGCTACCGCAAGAAGGCGGCGTTATGCATCTACAAGCACAGCGAATGAAGACCATTCGCTCGACTTTCAAGATTCTCAAGCCGTGGACGAGGCATACATGCGGGCGATAGAGGAGAAGGCGGCCAGAAAAGCGCAATGGCGAAGGCAGAGCAGCGTGAGTACTCGGGCGCGGCACGGCTAGATCATGGGAAGCGCACTCAACTTGCTTCGGTTGCCGCACCGCTGGTTACCTCCCAGTCCTCATCCTTCATCGACTCCCTCTCCCTTGAAGTCACTGCTGGTCTGGGTGGAGATGGATGCGTAGCGTTCTCTCGCGAGAAGTACGTCCCATTCGGTCCGCCTTCAGGCGGAGGCGGAGGGCGCGGTGGAGATGTGTACGTGCGAGCAGTCTCGCATCTAAGATCTCTTGCGCGAGTGCCCTCTCGAGCGGAAGGAGGTGCAGGCGGGCATGGAAAAGGAGAATGGATCGTCGGTAGCAAAGGCAAGGACATTACACTCAGCGTTCCGGTGGGCACTGTAGTCACTGTGGAAGGCATCGAGGATGACCCACTCGAGCCAAAGGACGAACTTAGGATACTACGCTCAGAGTATGAGCATGGTCTCATGCGCAAGTATGAACGCCGGTTCCAGCGCGTGTATCAACCCAGACGACCTCGGCCACCACAATTTGTGCCTCGTAGCGCGCCGGATCACAACGAAGAGTCAGGCAGCGAAGACTTTTATGTATATCTTGACAAAGGGGCTTCGCCCAAACAGGAGACTGCTGAACAAAGTAGTCAGTCAGCCGGAAGAAGAAGTCTTGAGGAGGGATTTGTGGAGGAGGAGGGCGCGTCCAAGGGTCACAAAAGGGATACTGCGAAGCGAGAAGTTAGCCCTGATCAGGACCTGGAAGAGAGATCACGCGTGCTGCCCTTCCATCATGACGTTGGCCATCCGTTCCAACCTTCACGAGCTGCACAAGACTCGCAAGCTGCACATCAGGCGGGACATGATGCTGACGAGATCACTCCCGAGTACTACGACGAGGCAAGTTCTGATATGGGACTACCGTCAATGCCCCTGCCTGTGCCCGAAGAAGCTGAAGCTGGAGCAGCTCTGCTGTCTCCTCGCGAGCTCGAAGCTGCGCGGCAGGAGGAGGAAGAGAAGGCTTCCATCGCTGCAGAAGAGAGGATACGTCGTGATGCTGCATGGAGACATTACCCCGGCTCGATAAGTGGACAGAGCTCGCCAGGTACCGCAGCTGATGTCATCGAGGACAGCGAATCTGACGTTGCTACTCTAAGGCAACAATTTAAGGCTGCAGAAGAGAGGCTGGCATTGGCGCTCTTGAAGCGCAGGTATTCAGATACAAAGGAAGCAGCTTCGCAATCGCGTCACAACTCGTCGCTCGGCTCGGAGAATGCCAAGAAGATCATCAGAGCTTATGATCTGGATGAGCCTACTGCTGTCGATTCTCCCGGGATGCTGGTTGCACAAGGAGGTTTCGGCGGATTTGGGAATCCATTCTTCCTGAGCACAGGAGCCATCTCACGGTCTCCTAAATTTGCCACCCGAGGCTCGCATGGCGAAAGGGTCCGCCTGTCTTTGGAGCTCAAATGTCCTGCTGATGTCGGGCTAGTAGGGCTGCCCAACGCGGGCAAGAGCACGTTACTGAGGGCGCTTACAAGCGCAGGCAGATCTGGGGATGCAAATGCCAAGGTGGGCGGATACGAATTCACCACTCTCAGTCTAAACGTTGGCGTTCTGCGCCTTGCCCATGATGGATCACTGCTAGGAAGCGGTACGGGCATCATTGGCGAGTCAGAGCCCTTGGGTCTTCTCACTTCCGGTGCAGTGCTCAAGAAGCGCTTTCAGCCTCGTGCCGCAATTGCTGCTCCAGAAGGAATTGCTAATACTGGTGTTCGAGAAGAAGTGGCCAGGCTCACCATTGCAGATCTTCCTGGTCTGATATCTGGTGCATCCGACAACAAAGGGCTAGGGCACCTGTTCTTGCGCCACGCCGAACGGTGCAGGGCCTTAGTGTACGTCGTCGATGTCTCGGAGAAGAGTCCTGCGCCATGGGAGGAGATCGCCACATTGCAACACGAGTTGGAAGCCTACTCGCCAGGCTTGAGCAATAGATGCGCCATCGTGGTCGCCAACAAATGCGATGCCCTCGGACCCGAGAGTGAGGCTCACAGCCAGGTCGCAGCTTATGACACGAGCCCAGGATCGCCCAACCTTCAGGCGCTCCGCTCCTCGGCGGCTGAAGCTCGCCAAAAATTGTCAATTCTACAACGGAAAGTTGCGCAGCTGCACGGCGGTAGAGCCTTACCAGTTGTGCCGATCAGCGCGAAACATCGACTTGGAGTCGAATCTCTCGCTCAGCAATTCAACGTGGCGGTCAAGCGTGCTGAGCATACGGCATGATCACGGAAAGAAGAGTCCAAGAGTCAACTTTCGATGCTGATCGTCATTGGTCGGTCACGTGATACAGCCCTTAAGTGGCTCCAAGCAATTCTGGTTTGTCAATAGGCTAGATGCACTCATCATTCGTGATTCTCGGTCCGCTCATGCGGAATCGCGGACAAGCATAGCCGCTGCACAAGGTTCACAAGATCTTGGTCAAAGCCCAGCGCTTGATCTCGTTGGCAGATTATGCTTGCTTTCAATCAGGAATGCAGATGGTCATTTCCCCACACGGTTTGGTTCCGAGGTACTGCGGCACGTCGGGCCCGCATAAGCCAAGCTGAGGGTACATGCGTCGGCCTAAGATGTGTGACGATTGGGAGGTCACTCAGAGGCTAAAAGGACAGCTGCAGGGCCCCGCATGAGATCTGCCCAACGAGATCGATCTTTTACGACCGGGGTGGAGCCTCTACCAGCCAATTTTTGGCGCTGCCCTCACAAGATCATGGCGCTCCAAGACGCGTTCAAGATCGAAATCATAGACGATCGTGAATGTGCGTTCACGACCAGCGATCATGACCCGCCTATCGAAGACGATGCGCGCTGCTCCCAGAACGGCACTTGATCAAATAATAGGTATTCAGCGGAGGTATTTTAGCATCATTCGATGGCTTGAGGCATGCATTGAGATGCTCGCCGTTACTTTGAGTGCATCGGCAAGGTGCCAGGATGTCGATTCTGATCTCACGATGCTTAGTCTCATTTGAACTCCCGCTCGGTGACTTATTTGTGCCTAGACTTCTCAGCAGCTGAGCCCTGAGCTCAGCGAATCCTTGGTCAAGTAATGCAGGGCCCGTGGTGTTTGTAGCCGAGCGTGCGCACGTCGGAAGCAAATGTTGTGCGGGCTTAGTTGGCCTGGCCTGCGGGACGCGGAAGCATCTGAGCATGGGAAAAAAAACCCCAACAAAAAAATGCGACAAGCCACTTGCACCTTCCTCATCAGGGCCGCGGAGAATCTCACAGTCCTGGCGCACTTGAAACGTGCCTGGGCTGGAGCAAGTGCTGACGTGATCACCGTCTTTCGTCTACTACTTGTATTTGAGATGATGGACTCGACCTTGCTGAGGGAGGACGCCAATTCAGGTGCAGGTCTCTTTGATTCCAAAAGAGGCGCCGATGAGTGCGCGCACGGGCTAAAATTGCTCCCGCAAAGGCGGGGTATACCCTCAATTTACGCGTACAAGAGTCGTGTCGACGCGTGCATGGCCGCCACGTCACGTCACTCGACGCACACTCAAGACTCACACTCACACTGTCGTGATTCGTGATTTCTGCGCGCATGCCGCGCAATGCTTCGAGCAGCTGGCTGTCAGTCAGACCGCGCTCACGACTGCGCATGCATGCTTGCTTACTCACAGACTACCGCATCATCTCACTCCGAACCATTTGGTTCCTGAAGCGGCAATTGCCAATGCTCCAAGGCTGGCCTCCACAGTCATGGCTGTGATGGCACGTCCCTGTGGGTCTGGCCGCCATTTGTGTAGAGGTTGCCGGCTGCGAAGAAAAAAAAAAGTGCCGCAATCGAGGGATGGAGCTTCCGCGGGCCAGCACAAGGAAGCACCCTCATTCTCGTTCCTTTACCCCGGTGAGCCACAAGTAGTCGTGAATGCGCCCATACTTGAGGTGCATGATTCTGATTGGGAAATCGAAAGGGCAGCAACGTCATCGCTCGTGGCGGTGCCGCTGAGCGAGAGCGACAGCAGATTCACAAAAGCAAGCAGGTCAGTCTATACACCGACTACGATGGTGAAGCTCGCAACCTCGACAAGACTCGCGGCCTCCCTAATCAACAACAAGCCGCGAACGAAGTAGGTCCGGATCTCGAGCGAGAGCATTCGTCCGTTGCCATTGTGCCGGGCCTGACGGCTTGCTCTGCCATCATAATCTGCTCCTGCCGACATGACTCGTTTCGAGTGGCCTTTGTGGTCAGTGTCACGGAGTGTCGGCATTAGTAGCCGCGGCATGGTTCGGTGCGACAGGTCACACGAGCTTGCTGTCGGAAGGCTTGGCACCGATAGAGCCAGAGAGAAGAACAAGATGTTCTCCTGAGCGCGCGACGCATTGCCTACTGTACCGTACCGTATGCAGAGTATGGCAGTGTTTCGCATCCCTTCGCGGTCTCTGTCTCGGGGCCGTGGAGCAGCTTCAAGCAGTGCAGACGAATGTTCGGCAAGGCTTGGTGATGTTTGTTGCATGCAAGCATCGCAGCTGAAGTTCTTCACGCCTCCTCTCGGCATCTCCTCCGACCTGCAGAGGCTTTGCAACCACAAGTAGTATCCGATCGCGCATATCCATCCGCTCGCCGTCTTCCGAAGATTGTGCTGCGGACGAACGAGTTGGTGCAGATTGTCTATTTTCTACACGCACGTTGCCGCGCCTGAGCCTAGGGATGCAGTAAGTACCCTCCATCGTCACTGAAGTCTCGTTCCACAGGTGAGGTCCACCTCATGCACATGCGAGTGTATGCCCGTCGTGTATGTGCACGTCAATGGAGGACAAGGACGAGTCAAGCGCTAAGGCAGCCGACATTTCACAATTGCCTGCACCTCCAACACCCGATGCAGTTGGCGATTGGAAAATAGCTAGCTGACACCCTAAGTTCAGTTTGGCTGCCACAGGCCCGCCAGGCGAGTGGCCGCACTCAATACTGGTACCTAGTGCGTGAGTGCAGTCCGCGGTATCGCGTTGACGTGACGTTCCTTGCTACAGCCAAGAGCGTGCGCGAGAATCACGAATGACTGGTTAAAAGTTGCCGTGTCAGATTCGCGGTCGCTGACTCTCTAATCGCCGACAGCCTCTTGAGCGCTCGGCTCTTCACAGCGATACGCCATGACGCATTAGAGCACCCTGCTTCACGCATGTCGCCGAGGCTTGGAACTCGAGGAGAGGCCTGAGCTGCCGACCCCGACGATTGCACGAGTTGAGGTCGCTCTGAGCGTCGCAAGACTCGTCGTTTCCACGGTCATGATCAAATTTCATTAGGGTCCCGACCGACAGATCTTGTACACCGCGCGGTGAGATCTTGCTCGGCTCCCCCTGCGATTGAAGCTTGAAATCTGAATATGAGCGTTCCCAAGCTCAAAATTGAATGACAGTTCGCAGCTGGTGTGCACAAATACACAAACGTCCTGGAGCGCGCTTGTTCGCATGTCGAAAGGCCTGAGTCATGAGTGCTATCGGACCGTGGTTGACAAGACCCAACTCGGGTCCCAAGACTTCCAGGTGATCAGACAGACAGCATGGCAGGAGCGAAAAGCACGGGTCCTGATTGAGGTCACCGCAGCGCTCGCTGCATTCGAGGTCGCGATCCTCGATCATGAAGCCGTGCCTGCGCCAAGCAAGAGCAGCGTGTCTCACCGAGCACCTCTACAAATAGCTTTGCGCGTCAGAAGAGTGCTTATAGCTCGGGCCGCCGAGACACCTTTCTCTACGCTCGTCCCTCGTGACTACACTACGCACATTGGTGGAAGCAAAGCAAAAAAAAAGCAAGCAGCTTCTCAGCCGACCGACCGCAGTCCAGTACCAGCATTCGCGATTGTAGGACATCTTCCGAGTCCGTTGACCACATGCGACCCGACCCTACCAGACCAATTCGCTGGTCGATTCGCGTGATCAGTCAAACTTGAGATCGGCACCCCCACTCAACGCCGTCCAGATCGAGAGGATGGGTCCACATAGCACGCTAAAGGACTCACACTCGCGATGCACGTGTGGTGTGAACGCAGAGATGCACAGCACTGCATGGCTGCAGTGCGGTGTTGAGACGGAGTTGGAGAATGTGAATGCATGGATGGCAGGGGTGCCTGAGCGCGTGCTTGCTCATGCAGCTAGATGGCCTTGCTCCTGTAGTGGTGCGTGCATGCATGCATGGTCTCTGCGTCCAAAGAGTAGAGGACAACGGTAGTCCCCGTTGGCCTTCATTTCGGCCCACAGGGGGCTGGCCACTTATAGTCGTAGCGCTAGCAGGCTGTTAGCAGCAGCAGCACGCCACGAGCGCAGTCAAAGTCGAAATGGAAAGAGTGCGTGG